TTTGGGTTCCTTTTTCCCTCCATTTGCCCTCCTTAAAGAAACAGCCAGCCTCTTGACTCTGTAGAAGTGTTCTCTTGCAGACCTCTTTTTTCCAGGAAAGGTTTCAGCATGTGACTTTTTATACCCATTGCAATAGATGGAAATAAGAAAGACCTGGTCTGAAATATGCTTTTGCTTTTGCCAAGACATTTTGCCACCCAAAGTGGGCCTGTTTGAGAGGTTCACTGCCACAGTTTATGCCATTTCAGAGGACTTTGGGTTGAAAGGCAGTTTTCATATGATTTATTTAATAGTTTTAAATTTTTAGACATATTTGTTATGAGTCGCCTTAGGTCCCATACTGGGAGAAGGGTGAGAAATAAAATAGTAAAACAGATTTGCTTCAACAACTCAGGCCATAAATCTTTTAAATTGATTAGGTTAAAATAATTAATAAATTAATTGAATTAATGAATTTAACCTCTCAGTTAATGATTTTATGGTAAAATGAAATAAAGTTAACATGAGTACAGTTGAATTAGAATGGATGTTTATCAGAAAAATTACACTTCCTTCCTTCAGTGGTATGCTTCATTAGTTTTACTTTGTTTTTCACTTTTTCCTCATAACTAGGTCTCAAGATGACTTACAAAAGTTAAAGCTTATAAAGATTAAAGCAAATATAGCTTAAACATATGGAAAGCTATTGTTAACATAAAATTAAGATATCTATAGAATTAAGAACAATTTAAAATGTATCTATTAAAAAAATAAATGCCAGCACACTATTAAACAAAATAAAAACAACACGTTGTAGTTCTTTCAAACTTGCATAGAGTGGGTTTCTACCTTATTGATCACATGAAAGAAATGCCATTCATGTGGCCAAACATTCCTCTCCCCTGCTCCTCCAGCATGTAGCACCCTATACCACCCAAATTTATTACAGATGATTGGTGTGGTTTAAGGGATGGATTGTGTCATGGCAGCTGCAGTGGAGAATAAGGAAGCAAACAAGGTTCATCTGCCCAATTTCAGGTATTTTTCTCTTACACACACCCCACCTCACACTGTTCAGGTCACTCCTTGTTTATGAGGAGAGATTTTCACAGACAGAAATTGGGATGATGATTGGGAATGGTTGGGAACTGCATTGTAGGAAGAAGGGGGGGGAGGTAAGTTGCAGAAATGCACAGAAGAAACAATTACAGGTGAAGTTACTGTCCAGTCACTGATTTGTCCAGACATTTGTTTGAAACTTCCTGATCCAGATAATTGAGGTTAGATTCTAAATAGCTCCTGAAGAAAACCTTAAGAAATATGTTGGGCTTTTTCACCAATAAAGCAAGCCTCTTTCTGAAAATTGTGAATAGTTCCTTCTGTGGATTTCATTGGGTGCCACCCACTTTTTGCTTCCTTGGTTGCACAAATGGCCTTCTGGTTGCAACATTTAGGTCCCACCTATAGTTTATATGCTTTCCTCCAAATTTAGTAAACATGTTACTGTATTTGGGAGTACTAATAGGGTTTAGCCCACTGTAAACTAGCTCAGATATGTATTGCAGGTGTATCTTAGTTCCCAACTAGCATTCTAGCTCTGTTTTTATTGCTATGTATGCACATGATAGCTCTCATGTCATATTTTCCTACTTGGAAAATGACTTCATGTATCTGATTTGTGAAGTATAGCCCATCAAACTTCATGGCAGAGTATATGCAGTAGTCTTAAAATGCTATCTAACTCTTAGATTGATGGAATTATGGTCTTTTATACATCTCTACTAATTGTGTTACTATTTTCATTGTCAATATTTGCAGGATATCCTGCAGGTTTTTGCAGTTTAATGAGGTGCTAAGACCCCTAATGCATTATCCAAGACCCACAGTTGCGAGGATTTACTGGGAAGAAAAAATGGCTATTAAACCAAGTTAAGCCTGTATCATAGATATTTACTGTATTTCCGAAAGGAAATCCACACACACACCAACCAGGCCTTTTGTTGGCCAACAGAAATATAAATAATGCTATGAGGCAATGAGATTCACTCTAATTTTGATGCTCAGGATGTAAATGCCATTGTTAAGGGAGCCCAAACAGCATCACACGTCTACAAGAGAGGATTATCAGCAGGTTATGGAAATCTCCCAAAATTTCCAGAACTACAAAACAGCTAGTATGATGTAGTAGTCTGAATGTTGGACAGGAACCTAAGAGATCACTAGATGGCTTTGAGCCAGCTCCTATCAAAGGCAGCTTAGCCTTCCATAAGAATAAAGTGTAGGAAAGAGGAGAACCATGTACATCACCTTGAACTCCCCAGAGAAAAAGCAAGACACAAATGTAAATCATAAAATATAAAATAAAAACAAATCTTTAGGGAAAAATCTTAAGGGGAAGAGAGCTTCCAAAACAGCCAGTGTGGTGTAGTAATGAAGAAGGGAGATAAAACTCAAGAACTAGAACTTTGAACATTGCCCTTCCTACTGCAATATTTTGTTGTTATTGTTAGCTGCCTTCAAATCGACCTCGACTCATGGCAACCCTGTGGATTAGACATCTCCAAGACCCCTGTCCTTAGCCTGTCTGTTCAGGGCCTGTAGGCTCAGGCCTGTGTCCTCCCTGGTCGAGTCTATCCACCCAGCATGCTGTCTTCCTCTCTTTCTGCTCCCTTCCATCTTTCCTAGCATCATTGTCCCTTTTGAATGATTCATTTCTTTCTCATTATGTGGCCAAAGTATGAAAGCCTCAATTTAGTCATCTTGGTTTCTAGGGAGAGTTC